CTTATAGCAAACCCTTGAGGCCCAACCATCTATGTTCCAATTCAAAATATGGAGTCCACGAGTCCCAGTCAGTCAGTTTTTTACTACTGAAGTATCTTATGCTGTCCACTTGGGGGTACTCCTTGGATTAATTATAATTTTTGGCACAAGAGGAACAGAGAAGAAGGGAGTTTAGATTAATAGAAGAAGGGGGCATATCCAAAAAATAGGACATATGTTTTGTTAGTATTCCACTTTCCTCACCAACTTATCCCTTGTCCTTTGAAGAGGAAGGCAGTCACTACAATCTGAAGGTTATTCACCTGGAACACATTCTTATTTGTTGAAAGAGAAGGAGAATAAGACCTTTTCTTGATATTGTTGTTATATAAAGACCTTTTGCTGGATGTTACATCCTTTTTTACCATTTCAGAATAGAGTGGCTTCCTGTGTCTTTGTAATGAGTGTTCCTGGTTCAATGGTTTTATCTTGAGAAGATAGCTTATGATAAACTCAACCATCTTATAAATAAGTTTCAATGTATTTGCTATAAGCGCAGTTTATGATGCCATCAGACTGAGATCTTGAGAATGCTTTCCAAGGTTCTCATTAGGAATTACCGTATCATCTTTCCCCAATGAAAGTGTGAGCTACTGACATTAAAGTTGTGACAGAACAATTTGGCTACTGCATAAATTAGTTTGCTCTGGAGCTATCCTTCCTAAGATAAGACAAAAATGTGTGAGCCAGAGGCTAAAAAACTGTGAGCTAGCTCACACTAACTCAGCTTACAGGGAACACTGAGGATGGTCATGGAGGAAATGACAGCCTGCGCTGCACTCTTCTGCTCCACCAAATGCACAATCATGGTATAGGTGGAGTTCCTCAACCCCCTCCCCCTGCCTGTCATGCAGCAGACGGACAGACTTGATACTGTGAGAGAAGTGGGCGCCAGGTACAAACAGAACTCAAGGAAAGACCACATTTCAAGGGGGGCAGCATCCCTGGTGTCCCCAGCCCCAGAGTATCCTTCACCACTAGGTGAAGCATGTGCACCAGGAAGATGATGCCCTTGAGAAGCACAGCCTTCAACACTGCCAGCACGTTGGCACTGGCATTCATGACCATGTACAGATGATGTTGCTGCCATCTACTCTGTATCATGGTGGTCAGGTTTTGCACTGTGAGCTCTGCATTATTCCCCTGTACATAGAGCAGAACCACTTTGTGTTCTTCAGGCTACTTCTGCCTTGAGCTCTGGAGAGCTGAGTCTTGACCATCGCCACTACAACCAGTGAAAGGTTATGCCCATCATGATGGAGAAGGGTTGGCCATCTACAGCAATCATCTCGTCGATGAGCAAGTGACTGCTTCCTGGGTCCTCCATGTAGCACTTTTGACCTTTTGCAGGGTGGACTGCCTTCGTATTCCACCCATGGCACCACAAGTGAAGGGAGCCTTTTTTGGAGGGGCCTCCTGCTCCCTCTCTGCTTCTCCCTGCTAAGAGGAGGTGGGGTTCTTCTTCCTTCCACTGGCCACAACTCTTTCCTCTGGCAGCAACATAGTGTGCTGCACCCTTTCAAGGTGCCTACAGAGAAGGACAAGGTTGGGGGTCTGCATCCCTCTGGACATGGGTGTGGTACACCTGGCAGTCTGCCACACGGGTCACTGGGGAGGGTGCAGAAATGTCTCCAAACTGTGGGCTTCCCCTCACCCTCTGAATCACTGCAGTCAGGGCCCTCCTTTTCAAAGACTGTCAGCAACTGCTGGTGTCTCTGGGTAGTGCTTTTACCTCTATGGAGAGCGTCAGGAACAGATCAGGGGAAGGAGGCTCTGAGACTCCTGGTGATGCCCTACAGCTTCAGTGAGCTGGCAAGATAGGTTTGGCGCCTGGGGACAGGGGCCTGTGGTAAGCAGAGGGTGGAGGAGGACTTCCTTCCCCCATGACAAGCAACCTTTGCAACCATTTTCACCCTCATGGTACAGAGAGGTGTTCACACTCAGTAGAGGTGGAAGGGTATAAATGTGGGAGACCTTTTAGGGGGGTCCATAACTGGAACCCCAGAAATGTAATCCACCCCCAACTTGGAGAGATAGTAGAGGAGCAGGTGGCAAGGTGAGGTTCCCTGGGTGATTGGTGTGTGTAGCTTACAGGGAGTCCATTCAATACATTTTTGAACCTGTACCTGATATTTCCCCCAAAAGCAATTTCCTGCCTTTACCTTAGTTCTGTTCGGTTTGCATTAGGCCCGTAAGGCAGGATTTTTTTAATTCGGGGGGACCTTCAAATAAGTCAGGGCTCCCCTGCACACACACCCCAAGTGAGCAGCCCCACTCCTGCCCTTCCCTGTAATTCAATTCAATTAAATTAAACTACTCTCCCTCCCCCGGCTTCCCTGCTAGCAAGGTAGGGGGTTGGGAGAGTTTGCGCCACGGCGCTCCAGCCTGAAGGCCAGGTACTTCTCCAGGGGGTGGAGGAAGAAGGCAGCGCCGTGCAATTGTGACACGTTCCCCAGGCTCCCTTCCCCTTTCCCCATCAACAAAGTAAGGAGGACGAAAGAAGGAAGGGAAGAGTCAGCACTGTGGTGCACCAGCCCAAAGACCAGGTACTTCTCTGGGGAGAGGGGGGAGGGGGTACTTCTCCAAGGGGTGGAGGAAGAAGGCAGCGCTGTGCAATTGTGACACGTTCCCCAGGCTCCCTTCCCCTTTCCCCATCAACAAAGTAAGGAGGACGAAAGAAGGAAGGGAAGAGTCAGCACTGTGGTGCACCAGCCCAAAGACCAGGTACTTCTCTGGGGAGAGGGGGGAGGGAGAGAGGGAGGCAGCACCTTGCAGTGTGAAAGGGCAGCACGAGGCTTGCCAGTGGCATCAGCATGGAGACTGTGGCTGCCTTGCAGAGACCAAGCAGCTGGTGAGAGAGCAACCAGCGTGAGGCTTGCCACCGGTGGTGGCGGCGGCAGCATGTGCAATTAAAAATGGGAAGCGGGGGGGGGTGGGAAGTTGGGGGCCTTGGCAGAAAGTTGAAAGTTTGGGGGGGGGCCCTGCAAGGCCCCACTGTAGCTACAGGCCTGGTTTGCACTGCCACAGTGGCATTGGTAATGCTGGGTTTGAAAAAATGCACCCCCACAATCAGTTTCTGAGTCCTTCAGGGGAGGGTGGTTTATAAATTTGAAATAATAATAACAACAGCAGATTGAAACTAAACCCGGCGAAGACGGAGGTCCTGGGCCTGAGTCGGGCCGGGACAGGTTTGGGGCTTCCTCTCCCGACCTTCGACGGGGTGCCTTTGGTGCCTGCGTCTGGGGTTCGGAGTTTGGGAGTGCACCTGGACTCCGCGTTAATAATGGAGGCCCAGGTGGCAGCCACTGTCAAGTCCGCCTTTTACCATCTTCGGCGGGCTCGGCAGCTGGCCCCCTCCCTGGACCGAGATGATCTGGCCACAGTGATCCACGCGACGGTCACCTCGAGGCTAGACCACTGTAACGCTCTCTACATGGGGCTGCCTTTGTTGCAAATCCGGAGGCTGCAACTGGTGCAGAATGCTGCGGCCAGGCTGTTAATGGGTCTCTCTAGGACGGACCACATTCAGCCTGTGCTGAAAGCGCTGCACTGGTTGCCAATAGCGTACCGAATTCGCTTCAAAGTGCTGGTTCTTACCTATAAAGCCCTACATGGTCTGGGTCCAGCCTACCTGAGGGACCGCCTTACCCTGTATGTTACCCCAAGAGCACTACGGTCTGGGGCCCAAAACGTACTAACTGTACCGGGCCCCAGAGACGCAAAATTGGTCGCTACAAGGACCAGGGCCTTCTCGGTGGCGGCCCCTACCTGGTGGAATGAGCTCCCGGAGGAGATCCGGGCCCTGCGGGACCTGCTGCAGTTCCGCAGGGCCTGCAAGACGGAGCTCTTCCACCAGGCTTTGAAGTAGGGGCCGCCGCCTCCCGCCCCCCCTGTTATACTGCCATCATGGGGGGTGGAAGAGGCCCTAGGAAGGAAGGAAACACCGGAAACACTGGAACTTTTGAACATCCTAAACATCTTAATCATCTGAATGAATGTTTGAAACCATCGAAATGACTTTGGGGAACCTCTGGACTGGACCGTCATCTTTTGGAGTTTTGGGATGTGAAGATTAACGAGCACTTTAAATTTAAATTTAACTTTGTATTAGGATTGGTTTTAAATGTATATTTGTTTTTTAACTCTGAGAACCATGTTTTATTGTTGCAATATCTATTGCCTGTTAGCCGCCCTGAGCCCTACGGGGGAGGGCGGGATATAAGTTTGATTAATAAATAAATAAATAAATAGCAGCAGCAGCAATGATGATGATGCAGAGATTCTCTGGGTTGACCTTAATCTTGTTGGGTTTGCAGTGCCACATTGACCCTGGTTTGCTGGGCTTGTGAAAATACCTTCAGTTTCTACTGGAGAGATTCTTGGGGACTTTGATTCTGTTCTGCTGGGTTTGATTGCCCTTGCTTTTTTTGCTGGTTTTTTCCCCTCCATTGAAAACAAAGGACAGTGAGGGCACCCTCTTTGCAGGGCCATAACTCAGACCCTGTAAATCCAATCCTCACCAGACTTGGAGGGCACGTAGAGGAGAGACAGCCTGAGATTCTCTGTGAGCTTGATGTCTCTAGCTTGCACAGAATCTGTTCTACACACTCCTGAACCTGCCCCTGTCATTTCCCCAGAAAGCACTTTCCTGGGGGCACCTTCTTTGAGGGGCCATAACTCGGACCTCATAAATCCAGTCTTCACTGAACTTGGAGGCCAGGTAGAGGAGAGTCAGTTGGAGATCCACTGCGGGTTTGGTGTCTCTAGTATGCTGAGTGGGGCATTCTACCAAGCCATGAACCTCATGAACTAAACTGGTTAATTTAGCATCTAAAAATTCATGATTGTTCATGGTTCGTAAACTGGGCACGCCATGAACCATAAGCAAAAGCACACTTTCCCCATTCATGCCCAGCCTTAGAAATATTCTGTTCAATGAAAATGACACTTCTCTTCATTACCTTGCTTTCATGAGATCTCTCTAAATGAATTTTCTCCTGTAGAAACATCTGCTCTTGGTCCTAAAAAATTAAGGAGGTGATTATTAATAAGTGATCATCAGTTCAAGAAAAAGCTTCTAGCACCATCTAAAAGCTCTCTTCAAGTCTTATAAGAGCCAAGGATCATCTATGTGATAACTACGATTAAACTTGAAAAGATACTTTTAGCCCATTAGCCATATAAATAAAAGATTTAAACAACTCCTCCAGGAGAGGTGGGAAGCAGGGCTCATTGCTGTCTCCACTTCCAATCACAAGTCAGAGCAGTGCACTCTAGCATCTGCTATAATCATGCAAAAGCAATTACCCCTTGAGTTTGATCTAGAAATAGTTACATTTGAACCAAGCCATGAGACATACCACTTCCAGAGCATTTCCCACTACTCAAATTATGTATATCTATATGGACACTTAAAACAGTTACTGAGAAAATCCATGTGCAGCTGACTCCACTTCCTCTCTTTATTTCTTAAGTACTTCAAAGAACATAATAATCAGTAACCTCCTTGAACTAAAAGGTTATACTGCCCAGAGTCAAAGGAGGTAAGGGATAAACAGGAAGGGAATACAAGGCGTTAGATTACTTCAAAAAAGATGCAGTGAACTGACTGCAGGGAATTTGAGAGAGTGTAAAGAGCCAAGAATAATTTGGGCAGGAAAGAGAAGGCAGTAAATGATTTTTTTGAAATATAACACCAATGTGACAACCCTATGCTAATATTCTAGTTTATACAAATATAGCTATCACTAATACAAGGATTACTTTCAACTTCAGTATATGCTTCTCTATAATCCATTGGTATATATGCTTTTCATATCAGTTTAACAGGCAAGCAAATGAGACAAATAGTCCCCAATTTTCTTTAAAGGATTTACCCAAAAATGAGACTATATTCTATTATTTCTGGTATTGAGTGATTGGCACAGAATGTTCCAAGAACTTCAAAAACTCTCTCATTTTCACACTGTTTATTAAAAAAAAGAAGTAAAAAGGATTATCATTTTTCATTAGTGAAAATATCCAGTGCTTACCCTCAGCTGTTGGTGCCGTTGATGTTCCGATTCTACTAACTGTTGTTTCAATTGAGAAATACACTGTTCTAATTCTTCGATCACATCAGACGCCTGTAGGAATTTAATAGGAAAGGGAATGTTGGTCATGTATTATTTCTCTGGCACAGATAACTTACATGAGAGCCAGCGTGCGACAGTGGTTAAAAGCAATGCACTCTAATTTCTAATCTGAAGAAGCGGGTTTGAGTCCCCTCTCCTCCACATGAAGTCTGCTGGGTGACCTTGGGCCAGTCACAGTTATCTCAGAACTCTCTCGGCCCCACCTACCTCACAAGGTGCCTGTTGTAGTGAGAGGAAGGGAAAGGCAATTATAAGCTACTGAGACTCCTTCAGGTACAGAAAAGTGTGGTATAAAAGCCTACTCATTCTTCTTTTCTTTTTCCAAAGTTCTAGTGTTATTTTTTTTAAGTGGGGAGATTATTTATTTTTTTCATAAACCACCCTCCCCTAAAGGGTCCAGGGTGGTGTACATCACTATCAAACATACAGCAAATTTAAAAATACAATAAATAATTTGTTACAGCTAAAATCAAAAGACCTTGGGGATAGCTGTCCTACTGTGTGTTTAACCTTCTTAATATAAAGACCCGTGTCACAAAACACAATTCCTTTTGGGTCACCTTCTTCAGGATAATTGGTTTGAGTAGATATATTTTTATACAATTTTCCCTTATAGAGGCTTTCTGGTTAAGTCTTTATGGAAATCATGTAATATATGAGATTTACTATTTGTTTCAATTAATTAGGGAATTTACCACTTGAAAATACAATTGTCTTCTGCTCTGCATTCTTCTCATGAAGATACTTTTTTGAAACAGGACAATACACTAGATACCTGTCTTGCCTGTCCTTTTAATGGATTTAGGGTGGATTTTCTGTGGAGACACATTTATCATGTATTAATTAATCCTCAAGTGTACTTCTTGAGACAGACTTTTTGTATATGTATTTAGTATATGTTTATTTTATTTATTTATTTATTTACATTGGATTTATATACCGCCCATGACCTCTAATGGGTTTTAGAGCGGTTTACAGTGTACTACTAGTATAGTACTAGTTAACCTACCTAGGGCCACACATTTCACAGGGGGGGACTACCTACCGACACCCTATTTGCGGCGCATTATGTCTTCTTCCGGCGGGCTACGGGTATTATTCTGGCGTCTTTGGGTTAACCGGCGACCACCTCCGGCAGGCTCGATGTTTCCTCCTCTGCGTGCGACTGCTTTCCAGCTGCAGCTTCCGGCTTACGTCCTTCAGGCTCCTGCCGTGCTGCGCCGTCTTGCACCCGCATCGCCGTGGCTTCGCCTCCATCAGGTCTGGTCGCCAGGAACTCCACCGCCATTGTTGTTGCTGCCGCCGCCGCCAACACTCCTGGCACAAAACCAGGAGGTGGGTGCCCCCTGCCACCTAGGGCAGGTACCCATTTATCTACTTGTTTGTTACCTTTCGAACCGCTGGGTTGGCTGTGGCATATGTGAGTTGAATTCTGTCATAATAATTGCTATGCTCATTTCATAACACTATCCTAAGGATTTTCTTTATTGGCTGAAAAGTTCAACAAAACAGGAAGGACTTTGCTCAGCATCTAATAGGTAATAATGGGGTGACGGGAACATTCCTGAGTATAATAACCTAATGAGGATGGTAGCAAGAGACAAGGCTATCTCTCCCATAGGAGTTTCTGAGGACAGACACATCCAGAGAAGGACCTCCAACCCAGATCACAATTACCCTCAGGTCAGGGCCTGCTATGATCTACTTGCTATTACACAACGATCGGCACACTCCATCCTAAGTGTTGGTACAGAAAAAGATGCATAATATGCACACTACAAGCTTACATTGGTTTTATGCCACTTTAAACTGTCATGGGGGCCCCAAAGACTCCTAGGGATGCAGCAAGGCAGAGAGAATTTTCTGTCAGGGATTCCCAGAGCTGTCTACTTGCATATGTCTACCCCACAGCCCACAAGACAATTCTCGATACTCCCTGGAGAACAGAGCACAACTGCTAAACTCATTTGAATGTGCAGCGTAGCTACATATTAAGTACTTAGATCAGCCCATCTTGAAAAAGATATAGAGCTTTTAAATGCAGGCACTGCTCATCTAATTTGTCCTTAAAATGCAAATACTATAATAGTATTAGTCAGTAACTGAAATTCAAACACTGTTTTTAAGTTATTAGTCATTGGGACCTGATTAAAAATTGACCAGATATTATCCTCTCAAAAACTGAATGCTGCAAGCTTAGGCTTCAGCCTTGTCAACATACATGCATAGGCAGATGAGAAGACTTAATTGAGTAAAACAGGGCTGCACGTACCTGTAACTGTTGTTCATCAAGTTGCTTTCTGTGCAGGGACACATTTAGGACTGCGCTGACCAGCTGGGAGAGAAATTTCTAGCTGTTTAGAGCTGTAAAGGGCACCCTCCCATGGGATGCAAGGCAGCATTCCCTTCCCAAATCAATGCATGCCATGAGGGAGGAGCACCATTTTCTCTCAGTTCTCTCAAGCCACCAGAACTCAATGAAATAGAGAGAGCTCACAGGAAGGCAAGGGGGAGGGATTGTGTGCCAGCACAGAAGGCAACTTGACAAACAACAGTTACAGGTAAGTGCAATCCTGTTTTCATCTTTGGCCTTTCGTGCAGTCCCACATTTGGGAATGCCACAAGCTACTCACCAAAGTAGGTGGTATGAGCTGAAACTGTGGAAAGAGTATTGTCTAGTCAAACAATGAATGTAAGACTGCTTTCCTCACAGCTAACTCCTCGCAAGCATCGCTGCCCACCATGTAGTACTTGAAGAATGTATCAGCCAAAGACCATGTCGCCTTCTAAAGACTTCATCAATACAAACACCATGGAGGAAAGCTGCCAATAAGGCGAAGGTCCTGGTAGAATGAGTTGTAATATGGAAGCCATTACAAGTAATGGCTTGAACAATCCATTGTGAAAGAGTCTGGAAGGATGCAGTAGTGCCCATACGAGGGCCTGAGTGACACATAAACAGAGAGTGCTGCTTGTAAAAACATTTTGTATGTTGCAAGCAATACAATAAAGCTCTTTTAAGATCAAGTGTGTGGAATGCTTTCTCACTTGGTGAGGAGGGGTGCAGAAAAAAGGCAGGTAGTACAATGACCTGGGAATGGTGAAACATGGGAGGTAACCTTAGACAAAAAACAGAGGAAAGACCAAAGGACAACCCTCCCAAGGAAGAAATGGACATATGGGGGCTCAAACCTAAGGGCACCCAACTCCACAACCCTGTGTGCAGAGGTAATAGCCACCCACAAACATACTTTGAATTATACAATGTAGAGCAAGCATATAGCTAAGGGTTGAAATGGAGGCAGCATCAATCTAGAAAAGTATGAGGGAAAGGCTCCATTGAGGAACCAGGTGGCTATGGGAGGGTGAAGATTATTTAAACTTTTCTGGAACTGTTTAGAAACCCTGATTCATAAGGAAACCATGTATGCGGAATAAAGGCATTTTCACAATGTGCACTCAGCCTGTTAAGGAGGCATCAGTGGTTTGGGAGAAGATGAATCCCAAAGATGGCACCCCACAACAGATTAAATTTGTCCCCACCCCACCCCCCATAATGTACATTGTATAATGTATTTGGGGACAGAAAGCTTAGTAGTTTAAGAATGAACCTCTGTTCGGTATGCTCGCAGGAGCCAATATGGAGAGGTCGTAGCCTCAGTCTAGCAAAGGGTACAACTACAGCAGTAGAGGCCATCAGGCCCAGCAACTTCTGTATCATAAAGACTGACTGGAATCTCTTTCAATTGAAACTAATAATCATAGCTCAAAGAGCCCAAAATCTATCTCAAGGGAAGAAGGCAGGGCCTCTTTTAGAGTCCAGAGTTGCCCCAACAAATTATCTGTTGGAAAGGTGAAATCCTAGATTTTTCTCAGTTAATTGCCAACTCCAATCTCAAGACTGTGGAAATAATCAACATTAGGTAAGACTGTAGACACTCAGATGAAGAGGCCATGATAAGCCAATTGACCAAGAAGGGAAATATAATGCATCCCTTAGATCTGCCATTGAATCTTTTCCCACAGAGACAACAAAGATTTTAAAATAAAATGGTTTGAAATATACTTATGCTCTTTCACCTTTTGATACCACAAATATGCATGCCAACCAAGTTTTAGGTCATGGCCTATTTTAAGCAATCTTTCATTATTGAGCATCATCTAAACGGTCAGATTATGGTAAATGAGATAGTGGAAACAATTAGAAAACAGAAAAATGGAAAGACCTCGGGACCGGATGGTCTTTTGGCAGAGTACTATAAAACCTTTGAGGAAGTGCTCCTTTTACCGTACAAGAAACTTTTGAATGAGATAGAAGAGAGAGGCAAAGTTCCCGTATCTTGGACTGAAGCAATAATATTGTTGATACCCAAAGAAGATAAAGACCCTAAAGATGTGAAGAATTATAGACCAATGGTTCTGCTGTCCTTGAAGAAATGCCCTGTTGGGTTTTGGCACTGTCACTGTGGCACTGGTTCAGCTGGGCACATTACACTGGTTCTGCTGCTGGCCTTGCAAAAAAACAACAACCCTTCACACCACGTAAAGACGTGTCCCACTCCGGGGGTTGCGGCCCGCAAGCAGCAGACCCCGGAGCCCCCGACATCCCTCAGGAAGGCCCAGCAACGCGCCTTACCAGAGGAGGAACGACCTGCAGGGACGGAGCAGCCTGATCAACCGCGGGAGAAGGAGACGCGACCACATACAAACCGCCCAGCCCCAGACGCGCCCAAGGACGGGACCGGGGCCTGAGGAGCTCTCACCATGAAGCAGGGCGTGACTTTATTCATACTAACTCAACAATCACATAAATATGCAAATAACAGTTAAAACTAATTAAAATACATCAAACCTAAAATACAAACCGTAATTTCCTATACTCCTGGCTAGAGCCTCAACAGATGTCTACCAGAAGTTGGGGTTCCAGATGGTTACTCAGATATGGGTCACTGGAAAGGAGATCCAATAAGGTGTGGATGCCCGCTGCCTCAACTAAAAGCCTGGTGGAAGAACTCCATCTTGCAGGCCCTGCAGAACTGTAAAAGGTCCTTACAGGGCCGTGATCTCATATGGGTGATCATTCCACCAAGTAGAGGCCAGTGCCAAGAAAGCCCTGGCCCACATTGAGGCAAGTCCCTGGAGCTGGGAACCACCAGGAGATGCTGGTTCCCAGATCATAATTTTTACGGGGCTCATAAAGGGAGAGGCAGTCTCGAAGATATGCAAGCCAGCAGGCTTGAAGGTAAGCACCAGCACCTTGAAATAGATCCAGTACTAAATAGGCAGCCAGTGCAGTTCATGAAGCACATGATGAATACGCGTCCACATGGCCCCATAGGGTACAATAGACCTGAATATATTAGGTATTCCCAAATATTTCCCAAATTGGAATCCCATACCGATATTGGTATTTGGGAATATTTGGGAATCCCAAATATTTTTGGGTCCAATATACCCAAATGCGGGGGGGGATTTTCTTGCACATTCTTAGTTAATAATATTAAAACTTTATTTGCTTTTAATTTTTCTAAAATATACAAACATTAATAAAAATAATTGTTTTCTCTTTTCTTTTCCAGTACTTCACAGCTTTAACAAATACACTGTATGCTGTATATTCTACAAATTTAAACCACTAAGAAAAGACTCATGCCAAAATATGTTTTGTGTACATGTATTTGATGTCATTAATAACTGTACCTGGTCATAGGAAAGATACTTGTAAATGTTTTACATCCTCATGTATATAACTGTAATTTTACAAAAAGTTTTTTGTTTTGCAGTAGGGGAACATACATGTATATGTAACTATAGTTAATGGATTTTTATGCACTGTTCTTAATATTTACCATTTGATTAAAGATTCTTTGATTCAATATTAGGTTTTTGGGAATTTACTTTGATATATCTATATACAAGATTATTCTTTTAAAAAAACCACCTCTTTGGTTACCTGAGTTGCTCTATGTTGAACACACACACACACCCTTCATTTTCATTATCTTATACTGAATAAGACCATTAGTCTATCAAAGTCAGTACTGTCTACTCACACTGGAAGTTGACTCTCCAAGGTCTTAGGTCCCTTATATAACCTACTACTTGATCCTTTCAGCTTGAGATGCTTGAGATTGAATCTAGGACCTTCTGTATGCAAAGCAGATGCTCTATCCCTGAGCTACAACCCCTGTATGTACACTTACCCTAGCTGCAGAAAGAGCATGTTCCTGTTTCATGAAATTTAGGTCAGCATCATATTTGCCTTGTAGCTGTTGAATGTTCTGTTCCCAATCTTGTACAATACGTTCTCTCTCTTTTTGAAGTGAGTTGCATCTACAAATATTGCAAGGGGAAAATAAATGTGTAGATAGCCTATATAGAATTACTGCTTCTTCCCTTTATTGTTTTACGATTTGAGCAGAATTCTATTAATGTCTACATTTTAAGTTTGTTAACAAAACAATCAAAATAGAGTAATTTTATAAGTTAATCAAGAAAAAACACATGTGATTTAGGTACAGCAATTTCAATAACTAGACAGAGCTCATCATATCCCAGTTAAGGAAAACAGATGAATCAAGCACGTGCTTTTCACTTTTGAGGAAGCCTTGAGCTCATGAAGAGAGACTTTTTGCAGCATTCATTGGTGAAAATTGGATAAACATTTTGGTATTTGGCAACCTTGTGCTTGGAAATATCTGTTGAACTCCCTAAGGAATACACTGAAACAGGAGGCTATCTGGACCTCTGTTAGAGGAAGAATGAGCATTAATTCAAAATAGGAATCCTCTCTCTTAAAACTTTTGTACAATTAAGGAGGACTGGTATTAATAAAGGGGTTGTGCAATATCTTTTGAGATATGTAAAAAGACAATACTTAGATGTTTGGATATATGATTCTTTCTATGTGTTAATGTTTATATGATAATTAATATAAAGGTAAATAATGTGTAAGAAATATAGAAACATAATATAAAAAATAAAAATATATAAAAATTACTTTAGATACTTTGTCTTCGTCTATAGCATGGTATTTGCTGATTTTTGGTTTTTCTAATGGGGGCTGCCCGCACTTGATCTCCCAAGTGGTGAAATCACTGCTTGAAGTTCAGGGAAGGTGTGTGGCCACCCCTCCCCTGCTGCCCCACAAAATTTCCCCATGCCCCACCAACTCAAACAGGACTGCCTACTACTAGCAAATTATATAAGTAAAAAGAAATTTAGATTTGAAGCAGTTGGAAAGACAGTCTGGAACATCTTCAGTTCTTTGTACAATCATGATCTGGAGATTATTTCAGAACTGTTATCCTACAGTAACAACTTCAATCTATTAGAACAAGGAGTTCTGAGGTCACTGGGGACCCAACTCAATATGACAAAGGGGGGAGGAGAAGATGTGGACTGCAGCCCTTCTGCTGTAGGGATAAAATAATCCCCCACACTGTGGTTTGGATCCCACAATAATTCTCTGATGATGGAAGGGACGGGGCTGCAATTCTAACTGCCCACCAAAATGTGGCTCTAAGGGACAGTAGACCTTCCAAAGCAGCATGGTGGAATGCTTGGTGGTCTGCCACTGAAGGGTGAAACCTGTGAAAATAGCCCCCCTTTTAGGCTAGTGGAAATTTTCCATAGGATCCAGTCCAGTTTTCCTAAACTCAGGATCCCCAAAGCAGAAAAAAGTACCCATATGATATTAGAATGTTTTTACCAATAGGGCAAACACCAGGTCATTGTAAAGGAAGGAGAGAACTGAAAACAGAAAACAGTGCAAGGGGGGAAAGTTAAACCCTCCCCTCACTGTTCACAGAGCTGTAGTGCAACTTGTTTTAGTCACACCCCAACCCTGAAATGCAATCAGTGCTAATCACTGCCTTCCTACCATCATGCTTAGCTTAGCCCTAAGCCACGTCCTTAGGCTATTTTAGGCCATTCACAGGTTCACTACTTCTGCATGGAACTGCAAAGACCAGCATAACAAATCACAATCATGCTATTTTTTATGATTACTCTCTTCTTTTTCATCCTGACTTTACTGGGGGGTCAACAATTTTCAGTTCACTTTCAAGTCACTTTCTCACACTATAAACAAATCAAAATTTGAAGACAAGTTGGGGTGATTATGCCACAACTGATCAAGTAAAGTAAAACATACTAACAGGTGGTGAAAGACCAGACAAAAGTAATTAGTAAGTGGATAATGAACATAAAAGTTAAGAATAATGTTTTTAAAAGATGAGGAACTGTATGTTGTTGTTGTTCAGTCGCACAGTCGAGTCCAACTCTTTGCGACCCCATGGACCAGATCACGCCAGGCCTTCCAGTCTTCCACCAGCCTCTGAAGTTTGCTCAACTTCATGTTCGTTGCATCTATGACACTGTCTAACCATCTCATCCTTTGCCGTCCCCGTCTTCTTTGACCTTCAATCTTCAAACTGTATACCTTCAAACCTTCAAACTGTATACCTTTGGGTAACAGATATAAAACAAAACAGATATAAAACAAAAGCATTTCACAGAGTACCTTGTCTTGGCATCTTGAAGTTCAGTGCATGCAGCCCGGTACAACTGCTCCAGATCAGTCTTTTCTTGAGATAATTTCTGATGCTGCAAATTGCTGCTTTCAGCTTCCATAGTCAACTGATGGACACGGGTTTCCAGCTCTTTGACCATCTGGTTCTAAATTAATACACTGTTGTTAAGAATCCATTACAAATAAGCCTGCATACCCCCTTCAAGGGGTGATTTAAAACACACCAAAATTAGGGAAGCAAAAACGTCAGAACGATGAAGGTTTCAAACAAAATGGGTGACAAACAATACCAACAAAACAGAAAAGTGGAGAACAATGGGTGAGGAGGGTCATGGCAGGACAGAGAACCTGTGTTAACTGAAGTCAGCCAAGCATTCTACAGAGTATGCTCACAAAGAGAAATGAAGATCATGGCCTGAGAGATTGTCTTCCACCCTTTTTTACCACCTAGACTGATGCACAGTTCTGGAGAACTTAAAGGCTTGCACACTGTGTTGTATTATTTTGGTTGGTGATTCTTTTCCTGAAAATCTGTGCCCTTACTATATTTGTGGAGTGAACAAGGAGAAGTTGCTTTGCTTAACACACTCCTGCTGGTTTCCTATCTGATTATGAGAAGTTAAGTTAATGCAGCAAAATTTCAGAGGCAGTCTGAGAACTAGTCTTAGCAAGCATCTTACTAAGATCTTTGGAACAACATGGAAAAAGGGTGTGTGGAGTAAGTGCTTGGGGGGGAGCACACGTGCAGCATCTGTGTAAAAACCAAGCTGGAAGGATCTGCTAGGTATATATGGGCATTTGCAGTCTGGGAGGGAATGATAGATTTTTTCCCCCCTGAGCTACAGTCAGGTGCTCTATTGTGGGGGGTAAGACGAAAGTGTGCTAATCTTTACAAAGCAACCTTTTACTACTGAGCATTCTGTCCCTACACAGCCTCGTCTATTGCATCAGGGATTAGACTGCTGTTCATCTTTTGTTAAAGTCAATCCCCAAAGATATCCCATTTCTAATGACTTTCATTGCAGTCTTCCTAATTCTTGCTTAAAACTATCATCTTTTAAAATATATTTCCCCCCCCCCTCACTTTTTCATCTTTCCCTTCCTTGGAAGCCCCCATTGCCCCTCTTTTTTCCTGACTCCTTTTCTCCTACCCACCCACCAGTCAACTTACCTGTGCTCCCGTCTTCAGGTTTCCCTTCTTCCCTACTCCCTGGAAGCCTCACCCCAGGAAAACTATGGCCCAGTTATGTGGTGCCAGTTTATCTAAGCCCATATGCACTGGGGGGACCGTGCAAGGGCTTGAGGGGTACACCTTACTTTCTCCTGCACCACCTCGTCGCACAATTTCCTCTTTCTCTCCACTTAGCAATTCACAAATCATCACCTTCCCCTACTTCCTTCTCTCATACCTACTCACCAATACAGCTTTTATATGCTTCTCATCTTATTTATCTACTTCATTTATACTCTGCCTTTCTCCACAAACGTACTTTGCATTATTCTCGTCTCCCCCATTTTATCCTCACAAAAACCCAGTAAGATAGGTTAGGCTGAGAATCTGTAACAGGACAAAGGTTGATCCAGTTAGGTTTCCACAGCAGAATGGGAATTTGAGGTCCCAGTCTGTAACTCTAATCACTACAAAGCACTGCCTTTATTGGGATGACTTTAGCTGAACAGCAGCAAGGAGCCAGGCCTAGGTGACTCAAGCAATTTGGGTGGTATTAAGTTGTCTGGTGGTTGCCGCTGAGCCTGGCTGCAAGAAGTCCTCCCTTAAAGGCCAAAACAGCCCCTCCCCGGTCTTTTACTGACAGAAACCAAGCAGATACCAAGCCTGGAATGCTGGCTAAACTATTGTGGTTGCCTAGCAACACTCCCTGAGGGCCACTGAGGGCCTCTGTTTATTAAAACTAGAGGTGATCTATCTATAATTTTGGGGTGTTTTAACCACCCAATTTTTAATATTTTTAGAATTCAGATTTTTCTGCAAACCTAAAGCATTTTTATTGGGTTAAAAGTAAAAATAATAATAATTTGACTTGGAAATTTTACTTACAAAAACAGAAGCACATCTTACATGACATATTCATGTTAAGTACATTTAATTTATTATGAACAGATTAACTTCAAAAAAGTTAACTTGTTACTGTTCCAAGCCCAGGAAAGAGAGAGAAGAAGAGAGGTCCTATGTAAGATGGAACAGAAGACAAGCAACAGCCAAAGCGGCTCAATATCTAACCGATGAGAGGGTGGGGCCAATTGTCAAGTGTAGCCTAGAAAGACAGTCTTCCCTCCCAGATTCTCTTGCATGAAGACTTACAATATCCAACACCCCTTCTTAATGTTGCATGCAAGAGTTCTCAAGTTTCAGCTTATCTCAAACTTTTTAAAATCTGTCTCTTGATAGAGCCTTGGTCAGGATGTTGGCCACCATCTCTTCTGCTGAACAGTACTGTTGTCAAGCAGCCACTTCAAATGGCATTAATACAGACTTTTAAATATGACTGCCTTGTTGAACTGTAAAAAAGGGTGTGGCACGGCAATGGACAACACTGTAGCCCCAAAGCAGTGCATTTATACTGGACTAAAGGAATGTGCTTTAGCGAAGGGGAGCCTTGCGCCTAAGCAGCATGCCAAACCAGACATGGACTTCTGGACTACAAGAAGCCTCTTGCTTCTGCATCTCCAGCATCAGAATGCAGACCAGCAGCCCTGACACCCATACATGCAGAAACAGCAGCAGATCACAGAGGGAAAAGGAGAGTATACAGCCATTGCTCTCTCTCTCTTGCTTTTGCCTTTCTTATCCCCACCCTATCTTGCTGTTTCCATTCTTAGTGCTTTGGAACTTCCCCATGTGTGTTGCTGGCCAACTCATGGCCCCTTCCCATATTTTTATCCATTTTTGCTGCAGAATCAACTCACCTTGCTGGACAGGTAAAGTATCACCCCACCAACAATACTTCCTGCCAATGTAAACATCTCTGTACTATTCTATCTAAATTCCTGGCTCTGTGTTGTTTGTGTGTATGCTTGATTTTATATTTGTATGTTTGAGAATCCTTTAGTAAAAGAAATCACCACTTTAGTAATCTAGCCTCAAAGTCTATTGCTGGGGACTGGGAATTCAAACTCTAGTATACACGTGTTATAGTTCTATAATTAATGCCTATTGACTTTTAATAATTCATAATTCCCCACATTTATTAATAAAATAATTTGCTGAACAGTTCTCTATCTCTATTATGCCCTTCTCAGTTAAGTCATGCGGTAAAGAAACTTCACACTAATGTGCTTAGTGTGTGCAGCCATTTTTTCTGATTGAGAAATCTTAATGCAACTCTAGTTGGCTTAAGTTGAACTGGCTTTTGCTAAACAACTCCAAAGTCTTTTAGTAACTGGTCTAGCCACAACAGTTCTCTGCATGCTTCAGCAGATGCTATATATTCAGACTCTGAAAGACAAACTTACTGTAGTTTGCTTTCTACTGGCCCAGGATATTGGTCCACTTCCATACAGGAACAAGTACCCACTAGTGGATTTATAGTCTAACCTGTCTCCTGCCCAATCTGCATCGGTGTAACCGATTCATTTTGGATTGCTGGTGGATGACAATTTTAGTTTCAAATCTAAAGTTCCTTTAAGATATATATCTAGCCATCCTTTTTACTGCAACCCATTTTTTCTTGATAGATGCACTTGTCTTACTACTAAAGATCCCAACAATGGTTGCAATGTTGGGTCTGCTAGTGGTGCTTAGGTATGGAAGTTTTCATATGGTGTTTCTGTACTGATTGTTTATAGGTTAAAGGCTTACTGATTTCGGTGTTCTTAAGAAAGTCAGTTTCCATAGATATTGCCACTCTGTTGGCATTTTCTAGATCTAACACACCTGTAAGAGTTCAATTATTTTCTGTCTCTAGTTTAGGACAAATGAACCACCTTCCTCCCTTTATATTTGCATGCCCAGGTAGTAAGAAACATCCCTTAGCTCCTTAATTTCTAAAACTCCATTTAGGCACTCTACCAAACAGTTATATTCCATTTACCTGTCATAACTCAGAATCAAGTCATCAATGTACACAAGAGGAAAGGTTTGTGTTTAGCATACAGACATTAATCCACCTCCTTGCTTGAAGCCTTGCGCTATGAGCATTGTGTGTAATTTTTCGCTCCAGCCTTTAGCAGCCTGTTTTAGTCCATACACCCCTTCTGCAGCTTGCAGACTAAATTTGTTTGTGTGGGGTCTATAAAGACTTCTGGCTGCTCCATGTACAGATCTTTCTGGATCTCCCCATGAAGAAATGCTATCTTTACATCTAGATGTTTGACCTGCATTTTCTTGTTCACTGCTATTCTCAAAAGTAATCTAATCGTACCATGTTTCGCAACCAGAGCAAGGTCAAAGTCCTGACCATACTCTTGTGAGAAGCCTTTAGCAACTAATCTTGCTTTGTAACATTTCACATTTCTATCTGTAATTTGTTTGACCTTAAACAACCACTTGCATCCAATAAGATTCTTTCCTGGGGGTAGCTTTGTATAGAAAAAGGCTTTTCTAAAATCCTCCCTGCTTGGGCCAGATGGCCCTAGCTGGTAACACTACTGCATGATTCCTGTCACCTGTGCAAATGGCTTGCCAGATGGCCAGGCTGCATCTCCATATACAAGACACTTTGACACCTCTGCCAGGAGAGAGCGACTTGCCGGTGCCTTCCCAAGCATGGGACGAGCTATGCCCAATACATTAGGACATCAAAAGCATTCCCTGACATGACACATGGTCAATAGAAGAGGCTGGAGTTGGATGCCTGGAAACAAAGAGTTCTTTTGGATTGACTGTTTGCTGTTAACATGGAGTGAGACTGGTAGGCAGCCAAGCTGGACTAGCTGCCCACAAAACCATGGGGTTCCTCTTCAAGATTCCCTGGTGAGACCTTGGACTATTTGCACACCAGCCTGGTAACTATGAACTACCTCTATTGTATAGTTAGAGCTGAACAAGCTATAGATATCGTTTGTTTCTATTGCTAGTTTCATGTTATATGCATGCTTGTATTATATAAAGATTATATAAAGATAATATATAATCAATATTATCTGGACTTGCTTCCTCTGTTGCAACCTGATTTCTAAGACTGAATCT